TCAGTATACAAGAACATGATGCAATCCACAAAGGAGAGAAGTGTCTGTGTGGTAATAGAAGATGGTCAGTATACAAGAACATGATGTAATGTGCAAAGGAGAGAAGTGTCTTTGTGGGAGAAGTAGATAGTCATTATAAAAGAGCATGATGAAATGTTCAAAGGAGAGAAGTGATAGTCTGTGTGCTAGCAGTAGATAGTCAGTGTACAAGAACATGATGCAATGTACATAGGAGAAAAGTGTCTGTGTGGTAGTAGAAGATGGTCAGTAGAGAAGACCATGATGTAATCTACAACGGAGAGAAGTGTCTGTGTGGTAGTAGAAGATGGTCAGTAGAGAAGACCATGATGTAATCTACAACGGAGAGAAGTGTCTGTGTGGTAGTAGAAGATGGTCAGTAGAGAAGACCATGATGTAATATGTGAAGGAGAGAAGTGTCTGTGTGGTAGTAGAAGATGGTCAGTAGAGAAGACCATGATGTAATCTACAACGGAGAGAAGTGTCTGTGTGGTAGTAGAAGATGGTCAGTAGAGAAGACCATGATGTAATCTACAACGGAGAGAAGTGTCTGTGTGGTAGTAGAAGATGGTCAGTAGAGAAGACCATGATGTAATCTACAACGGAGAGAAGTGTCTGTGTGGTAGTAGAAGATGGTCAGTAGAGAAGACCATGATGTAATCTACAACGGAGAGAAGTGTCTGTGTGGTAGTAGAAGATGGTCAGTAGAGAAGACCATGATGTAATCTACAACGGAGAGAAGTGTCTGTGTGGTAGTAGAAGATGGTCAGTAGAGAAGACCATGATGTAATCTACAACGGAGAGAAGTGTCTGTGTGGTAGTAGAAGATGGTCAGTAGAGAAGACCATGATGTAATCTACAACGGAGAGAAGTGTCTGTGTGGGAGTAGAAGATGGTCAGTAGAGAAGACCATGATGTAATCTACAACGGAGAGAAGTGTCTGTGTGGTAGTAGAAAATGGTCAGTAGAGAAGACCATGATGTAATCTAAAACGGAGAGAAGTGTCTGTGTGGTAGTAGAAGATGGTCAGTAGAGAAGACCATGATGTAATCTACAACGGAGAGAAGTGTCTGTGTGGTAGTAGAAGATGGTCAGTAGAGAAGACCATGATGTAATCTACAACGGAGAGAAGTGTCTGTGTGGTAGTAGAAGATGGTCAGTAGAGAAGACCATGATGTAATCTACAACGGAGAGAAGTGTCTGTGTGGTAGTAGAAGATGGTCAGTAGAGAAGACCATGATGTAATCTACAACGGAGAGAAGTGTCTGTGTGGTAGTAGAAGATGGTCAGTAGAGAAGACCATGATGTAATCTACAACGGAGAGAAGTGTCTGTGTGGTAGTAGAAGATGGTCAGTAGAGAAGACCATGATGTAATCTACAACGGAGAGAAGTGTCTGTGTGGTAGTAGAAGATGGTCAGTAGAGAAGACCATGATGTAATCTCCAACGGAGAGAAGTGTCTGTGTGGTAGTAGAAGATGGTCAGTAGAGAAGACCATGATGTAATCTACAACGGAGAGAAGTGTCTGTGTGGTAGTAGAAGATGGTCAGTAGAGAAGACCATGATGAAATCTACAACGGAGAGAAGTGTCTGTGTGGTAGTAGAAGATGGTCAGTAGAGAAGACCATGATGTAATCTACAACGGAGAGAAGTGTCTGTGTGGTAGTAGAAGATGGTCAGTAGAGAAGACCATGATGTAATATGTGAAGGAGAGAAGTGTCTGTGTGGTAGTAGAAGATGGTCAGTAGAGAAGACCATGATGTAATCTACAACGGAGAGAAGTGTCTGTGTGGTTGTAGAAGATGGTCAGTAGAGAAGACCATGATGTAATCTACAACGGAGAGAAGTGTCTGTGTGGGAGTAGAAGATGGTCAGTAGAGAAGACCATGATGTAATCTACAACGGAGAGAAGTGTCTGTGTGGTAGTAGAAGATGGTCAGTAGAGAAGACCATGATGTAATCTACAACGGAGAGAAGTGTCTGTGTGGTAGTAGAAGATGGTCAGTAGAGAAGACCATGATGTAATCTACAACGGAGAGAAGTGTCTGTGTGGTAGTAGAAGATGGTCAGTAGAGAAGACCATGATGTAATCTACAACGGAGAGAAGTGTCTGTGTGGTAGTAGAAGATGGTCAGTAGAGAAGACCATGATGTAATCTACAACGGAGAGAAGTGTCTGTGTGGGAGTAGAAGATGGTCAGTAGAGAAGACCATGATGTAATCTACAACGGAGAGAAGTGTCTGTGTGGTAGTAGAAGATGGTCAGTAGAGAAGACCATGATGTAATCTACAACGGAGAGAAGTGTCTGTGTGGTAGTAGAAGATGGTCAGTAGAGAAGACCATGATGTAATATGTGAAGGAGAGAAGTGTCTCTGTGGGAGTGAAAGATGGTCGATGTACTAGAAGATGAAGAACTGTACAAAGGAGACAAGTTTCTGTGTGGTAGTGGAAGATGGTCAGTATGCAAGAACATGATGTAACACAGACGATGTTATGTGGGAATATTTTATTGTCGCCTGATGTCAGATTATAACGGGAAATGTGATCAGAGTTACCTCTGTATGATAGTATAAACTTGCTAGTATAAAAGTACAGGGTAGTTGATGCAAAAAAAACCCCAGCTGATATCTGTCTATCTATCAACAGTACCACATTAACATGTGAAGAGGGCATTACCTAGACGAAACATGTGAAATATGTGAAACAATACATCATGTGATTCTGACTAGTATTCTCAAAGGACATTAATGAAGCTGTAAAATGAAGGGGGAAATACGACATAAACTTTGTGGAGACGCATCATGACATTTACGATAACACATAATACATCAGGCTAGGGAACGTACCATACACTCAGAGGCGTTATGTAAACTGGTCGTGCTGCTTGATTGTTGCTTTGACCCAGTGTTGACACCTTCAACTGCGATCAACTGTGTAGCTGATTCTGACTAACAGGTTACGACGAATTACGGACAGAAATACATATCCCGGAACGCTGTAGGTGAAGGCCTTACATAATTCAATCACGAATTCGTAGGAGATTTACACATTGTTACTTTTAGAAAGAACTTGCTTGAAAACATTTGATTAACATTTATCAACCGTGTAAAAATTGTTTACTTGAGGTAACCTATTGAGCTGTCTTTTTGACATCATCAACATCATGATGCCATACCATATTGTTTTTACAACTGTTTCCTTATAACGTCATACAATTATTTGTGCACGCTTTGTAAATTTCTAAAATGCACATATGTCAATGTAGGAAAGTAAATACATCCTTTTCTTTCACCCCTTTTGAGAAAGAGTTGCCGATTATATCGCCCAACGAGTTTCGGTGTGATGTTACTTTTGATCATGGCATTCTCGATTCTAATACTATGGGTGCGCGTTCTCCTATTTGCAATGGTTCTGAAACATATTGACACATATGCAAGGTATGATAGATAGATATTTTTCATCCGTGCATCTGTAGAAGATCGTATGGTTGATACAAGTGAGATAATCTGGTCTTAAACCGACAGTCCCCGATGCATGCACATCGCTATATGAGTGGAATAATCTTGAACGCGATGTGAAACCCCATTTCATCTCTCCTACAGAACGTGTAGAAACCCTACAGCCGAATCACCATGAGTGACACCAAGAAGGGCTTCACAAATCCTATAAAGATTTAATGAATGTTCAGACAACCGAAATCTTAGTCCGTTACGACTTGTTCAACCAGCGGTCTCCTATGCTATTCGGGGCCGTAAATGTATCGTATTTTATAGGTTAATCGTTTCCTTTGTGCTTTGTGTAATTGATATGGTATCTGGAACACAGATAATTTAATATTCGAAGGTTAGAAATTGAGACAAGAGTCGGATTTGTATCTTGACTTTATTCGTGTTCGTACAGTGTGACCGTTATTGCATGAGTTTGTTGTCACTCGTGGTTTTTTATCCTACTTAAACTCAATACACATATACTCAGGGCGTAACATAAGTACGATTTGTGAACACAATACCCTACGTTATATACTACGGTTATAACGAACTCGAAGGGACCACTAATTGTAGTTCGTAATAACCATACATCGTTTTATACAACATTTATACAACAAATGGTCGGGACTAAAACAAAGTTCTTTATATCGGTCCGTTCTTTATAAGCGTGTTCGTTATACACGTAGTTTACTGTAATTATAAGTTTATGGACATATTTTGCTCCTTTATCATACAAGAGGTCGGGAAGTCGTCGGTTCGAGCACCCGTCCGCGTCTTACCAAATGACATTACAAGATGCTAATTAACGTCACCGTGCCATTGTCGGCGCTCAAAAGACACAAGGACTGGTCGGCTCGGAGTCAGTATATTGTGTCTGAGTGGGGCATCCATGTTTAACTGCCACATGGTATCTCAGTGGGCTAGCACTATAAAGGAAAGTAGTAAAAGCAGACACACACATACACACACATGCGCACACATGTGCATGCCGTACGCCGTGCAAACAGTCTCAACAGCGACGTTAAACCCCATCTAAACCCTTATATCACACAATAAATCTTGTGTTATCAAGTTTATATAATTCACATATTGATGGGCACCTATTTAGATGCTCGCAGGAAAAAGCACTTTCGATGAGAAATCCATGACACATCATTTAGTGTCACACCTTAACTCGAACACACCTCATCAACAACCTCCACCAATGTTGATCCATGTTAGCTTGCGCTAAGGTTGAACGAAGTTTCATGTATAACGGATCATGTTAATGTTGAATGTAAGCCAAAATATGGTCAAAAGCATTTACTTTGGTGAAAAAAGCAAGCAAAGCTTTGGAGCCTGCAGCACAATACCATAATGGAGAAGAATCTGGGATTCATCCTCATAACCAGACTCATCATAATTTCACATAATCCTGGTTTCGCCGCCTTCGACCATCAGTACCTCATACCAAAACATAATGGGCGAAGGATGTCCTACTAAATTTTCACACACCTTTATAGCCGCCAGGTATATCTCCTGCTCCGCAAACCGCCTCCCCAGACAGTTTCTAGGTCCGAATCCAAAAGGCAGAAGAGCCATAGGGGGGATCATGCGTTTTCTGTTGCCATCTTCATCTCGGATCCAGCGTTCGGGTATAAACTCGTCCGGACGGTCAAAATATTTCTTGTTTCTCACTGACCGCTGGTTATTCATCACAATCAGCGTCTGCAATAGAGAAGAATGGATCTCCGCATATGCACAATGCTTCAAGTCGTCAAGTGTTCTTATTCATTAAGAAGCTACTCCATCCTCCCCTGAATCCCCAACATCATCATTTTTTCATTGTCTCATTGTTCACCCCTGTATCCCGAACACCATCATTTTTTCATTGTCTCATTGTTCACCCCTGAATCCCGAACACCATCATTTTTTCATTCTCTCATTGTTCACCCCTGAATCCCAAACATCATCATTTTTTCATTGTCTCATTGTTTACCCCTGAATCCCGAACATCATCATTTTTTCATTGTCTCATTGTTCACCCCTGAATCCCGAACACCATCATTTTTTAACTACGAGTCTCATTGTCCACCCCTGAATCCCGAACATCATCATTTTTTCATTGTCTCATTGTTCACCCCTGAATCCCGAACACCATCATTTTTTCATTGCCTCATTGCTCACCCCTGAATCCCGAACATCATCATTTTTTCATTGTCTCATTGTTCACCCCTGAATCCCGAACACCATCATTTTTCACTCCGAGTATCATTGTTCACCCCTGAATCCCGAACACCATCATTTTTTCATTGTCTCATTGTTCACCCCTGAATCCCGAACACCATCATTTTTTCATTGTCTAATTGTTCACCCCTGAATCCCCAACATCATCATTTTTTGATTGTCTCATTGTTCACCCCTGAATCCCCAACATCATCATTTTTTCATTGTCTCATTGTTCACCCCTGAATCCCGAACACCATCATTTTTCACTCCGAGTCTCATTGTTCACCCCTGAATCCCGAACACCATCATTTTTTCATTGTCTCATTGCTCACCCCTGAATCCCGAACACTATCATTTTTTCATTGTCTCATTGTTCACCCCTGAATCCCGAACATCATCATTTTTCACTCCGAGTCTCATTGTTCACCCCTGAATCCCGACAACCATCATTTTTTAATTGTCTCATTGCTCACCCCTGAATCCCGAACACCATCATTTTTTCATTGCCTCATTGTTCACCCCTGAATCCCGAACATCATCATTTTTTCATTGTCTCATTGTTCACCCCTGAATCCCGAACACCATCATTTTTCACTCCGAGTCTCATTGTTCACCCCTGAATCCCGAACACCATCATTTTTTCATTGTCTCATTGTTCACCCCTGAATCCCGAACACCATCATTTTTTTATTGTCTCATTGTTCACCCCTGAATCCTGAACATCATCATTTTTTCATTGTTGTCTCATTGTTCACCCCTGAATCCCGAACACCATCATTTTTCACTCCGAGTATCATTGTTCACCACTGAATCCCGAACACCATCATTTTTTCATTGCCTCATTGTTCACCCCTGAATCCCGAACATCATCATTTTTTCATTGTCTCATTGTTCACCCCTGAATCCCGAACACCATCATTTTTTCATTGCCTCATTGCTCACCCCTGAATCCCGTACATCATCATTTTTTAATTGTCTCATTGTTCACCCCTGAATCCCGAACACCATTATTTTTTCATTGTCTCATTGTTCACCCCTGAATCCCGAACACCATCATTTTTTCATTGTCTCATTGTTAACCTCTAAATCCCGAACACCATCATTTTTTCGTTGTCTTATTGTCCACCCCTGAATCCTGAACACCATCATTTTACACTCCGAGTTTCATTGTTCACCCCTGAATCCCGAACACCATCATTTTTTCATTGTCTCATTGTTCACCCCTGAATCCCGAACACCATCATTTTTTCATTGTCTCATTGTTCACCCCTGAATCCCGAACACCATCATTTTTTCATTGTCTCATTGTTCACCCCTGAATCCCGAACATCATCATTTTTTCATTGTCTCATTGTTCACCCCTGAATCCCGAACACCATCATTTTTTCATTGTCTAATTGTTCACCCCTGAATCCCGAACATCATCATTTTTTCATTGTCTCATTGTTCACCCCTGAATCCCGAACACCATCATTTTTTCATTGTCTAATTGTTCACCTCTAAATACCGAACACCGTCATTTTTTCATTGTCTCATTGTTCACCCCTGAATCCCGAACATCATCATTTTTTTATTGTCTCATTGTTCACCCCTGAATCCCGAACACCATCATTTTTTCATTGTCTCATTGTTCACCCCTGAATCCCGAACATCATCATTTTTTCATTGTCTCATTGTTCACCCCTGAATCCCGAACACCATCATTTTTTCATTGTCTCATTGTTCACCCCTGAATCCCGAACATCATCATTCTTTCATTGTCTCATTGTTCACCCCTGAATCCCGAACACCATTATTTTTTCATTTTCTCATTGTTCACCCCTGAATCCCGAACACCATCATTTTTCACTCCGAGTCTCATTGTTCACCCCTGAATCCCCAACATCATCATTTTTTCATTGTCTCATTGTTCACCCCTGAATCCCGAACACCATCATTTTTTCATTGTCTCATTGTTCACCCCTGAATCCCGAACACCATCATTTTTTCATTGTCTAATTGTTCACCCCTGAATCCCGAACATCATCATTTTTTCATTGTCTCATTGTTCACCCCTGAATCCCGAACACCATCATTTTTTCATTGTCTAATTGTTCACCTCTAAATACCGAACACCGTCATTTTTTCATTGTCTCATTGCTCACCCCTGAATCCCGAACACCATCATTTTTTCATTGTCTCATTGTTCACCCCTGAATCCCGAACACCGTCATTTTTTCATTGTCTCATTGTTCACCCCTGAATCCCGAACATCATCATTTTTTCATTGTCTCATTGTTCACCCCTGAATCCCGAACACCATCATTTTTTCATTGTCTCATTGTTCACCCCTGAATCCCGAACACCATCATTTTTCACTCCGAGTTTCATTGTTCACCCCTGAATCCCGAACATCATCATTTTTTCATTGTCTCATTGTTCACCCCTGAATCCCGAACACCATCATTTTTTCATTGTCTCATTGTTCACCCCTGAATCCCGAACACCATCTTTTTTTCATTGTCTAATTGTTCACCCCTGAATCCCGAACATCATCATTTTTTCATTGTCTCATTGTTCACCCCTGAATCTCGAACACCATCATTTTTTCATTGTCTCATTGTTCACCCCTGAATCCCGAACACCATCATTTTTCACTCCGAGTCTCATTGTTCACCCCTGAATCCCGAACACCATCATTTTTTTTTATTGTCCCATTGTTCACCCCTGAATCCCGAACACCATCATTTTTCACTCCGAGTCTCATTGTTCACCCCTGAATCCCGAACACCATCATTTTTTCATTGCCTCATTGTTCACCCCTGAATCCCGAACATCATCATTTTTTCATTGTCTCATTGTTCACCCCTGAATCCCGAACACCATCATTTTTCACTCCGAGTCTCATTGTTCACCCCTGAATCCCGAACATCATCATTTTTTGATTGTCTCATTGTTCATCCCTTAATCCCGAACACCATTATTTTTCATTCCGAGTCTCATTGTTTACACCTGAATCTTGAATACTACTTAAAGGAAATCTCAAAGGCATTGAGAAAAGGGTGCGATTTGAAGTTACATTACTGAAATAAATATCGAAAAAAATAAAATATATAAAAGTATTTATTACGTTTATCAATCTTTTTGTGAAATTTAAATCTTGCGTCCCAAATACGATTTCATTTGTGCCTCGCGTACCAAAAATGGGTTGGCAGCCTCATTCAAGTTAGTATTACTGAGTGAGTGAGTGAGTGAGTGAGTGAGTGAGTGAGTGAGTGAGGGAGGGAGGGAGGGAGGGATTGGTTTTACGCCGCTTTTAGCAATATTCCAGCAATATCACGGCACCAGAAATGGGCACCACATATTGTACTAACGTTGTACTAACTTACCCCTGCAGGGACGTTGTAGCCACCCAGCACCAAGTCTTTGGGTATGATTCTGCCAGTACCCGACGCAGTAGGATAAATAAATCTGCAACAACCATACACACGTACATTAGTGCTTTGTTTGTCAATCACTTTTATCTCGCAGACATCGCAGAGAATCTCACTTAGCTACATTACATATATTGTATATACTGTCTCTTACGATCTCTGGACTAGATTGGCGGGGAGCTGACAGAATCTGAAAGTAGTCATATTTAACTTTCATGTCATGACACGGCAACTGCCATGGGAAACAATCGACGTTTAGTATTAATTGGTCATGAGATGGGTAGATGTTTAAGTGATCAGTCTCCAAGTGAAATAAATAAGTATCAAGTTGTAGCTAACATCTAACAAATGTATGTGACAGGCAGGAGATTTGGGATCTACTAATAAGGGCGATAGGAATCAGATGGCTGGAATGACCTCTTTGTTTATATACAGTGGGAGCTTCCTCCTGCTGGTCTCCCAATCGCAAGCCTCTACCGACTCTCCGTAGTGAGCCTTGCTCCAAGGCTCTACTGAATGATAAGTCCATGAGTGTAATGTAGTTCTATCCTTATAAGAGGCAAGTCTAGATTAGCGGACAGTTTAAAGACGCAAGTCTTTTATAGGGACAACTTGTTATTATAAATTATAAATCAATAATCTTCGCCTTTGAGACTTGTACAAGTCTATCTCTCTAGTCTGCTTGCCACATTGATAAACCAGCCCACAAGTGTTTATCAGATATTTACATCTTTTACTTATAAGAACATATAAGAACATTCGGGAACGTTGCTGATCTTTCCCAATCACTCAATGCATGTCGTTATAGCCGACTTAAACCAGGACCAAGTTGTCATATCAGTAAACCCAGCCGGCAGGGATATATAGATGTTCATGCTTTCACCAGCCCGTGTTTCGTGCCATAGACATGATAATCTACAGGATGTCGTGATCAAGATGGAATATAGCTGACTGTGTTAAACAAAATTCAAACCATCACTCCAACATGATACAACTATTACCGACACTAATTGAACCGAGAACCCCGATTGAGGTCACCTTTTGAATATATTGCCTACCGGAAGGATTCTCTGAGACAGGCCTTGAGGTATCCAAGCTTCCCCATGTGATCTTCTGTAAGAGGGCCCGAATCGCCCATTACGGAGTGTATCTCGTCAAACAGTTTCTGTTGCTTGTCAGGGTGCCGGGCGATGTTGTACAGAAACACCTGAAGGTTCTTTGCGGTCTGAAAAATCATTGCCCCGTCAATGCGTGGTTGATCACTTAAAGGACGCCAACGAGTGATACCTTAAGGCTGCAACACTTATAAGACCTTATACGTGACATTGAAATTCCTTTTTTCCACTTTGGATTATAGTCACGCGACACATACCCTGCTTTCTGATTAAGCAGCTCTTGGACCGAGCACTCGCTGGCAACCTTTAATGATGAATCTATTTATATAGAAACAGACTACATCTGTAGGTACAAGGCTTACCCAAAATCAGAAAAGAGCATCATACAATCAGAGCAAAGTCCCCCTAAAGGGCCTGTACTGCGGCGGTTTCGGGTCAGTGAGGTTCAACGTTACCATGTTCAAGACTGACTGCATGCCGCGTCTTGTATTTAACTTAGGAATATTTTATGTTTTGAAAGTGATTGAAGAAATATAGCCTGTTCAAAAGAGAAATATATATTATGTAGAATTTGTATTTCCAAAGGGCAAAGGAGGCACTGTTTGCAAATATTTTGTAAATAAATCGATAGACAAATATTAAAAAAAAATATGATATTGTTTTTGTTGGCTCGAAAATAAAATGAACACTCGTCAGAAAACGTATAAGGAAGATAGTTGGTGCTTTAATGGCGTGGAGTGCACACGTACAGCAATCATACAATGTTCGCTTCTTATTCTCCAGTAGACCATTTAAATCTTCAAAGGATCTTTCTTCGAAGATTTGAAAGACCATCACATACCATCAAAGACTCTTGCTCAAAAGACGTTTGATCAGACCAACAACATTAAAGGCCTTAGTAAAGCTTTCAATATGTTTTATGGTAGGCATGTGGAGGACATTTCGAAATTTGATCACAAAATTGATATCCTATGCAATTCCCTCCATTGACTTGTACCATATGCTCCCATGTTTGTTCAGATGAACACTTGACTTGCTTGTGTGTGTTTGTGTGACAGATGCGACCGGTGGGAAAGGATACGCTCAGCTTTCCACGAACACCTGGTATGATTACAATTTTACAGTGAGTCATAAACACACATATAGTACAGTCAGATTCGTAAAATGGACTCTGCTTTTAGAAGAGATTTCTTGGATAAGAAAAAGCGTTTTATCGATTATATTTACAGCTACTGTGCTATCTCAATATGTGTTATGGGTAAACATTTTTAACAGTATGTCAGCCATACTACTCAGAAGAGGTTAAAGACAACCGATTCTTTCATATAATTACAGTTAATCTTTCATGCCGTGACTTGATTGGGGTTTTCTTTAACAGCATTACTTTATTGTTGACTAGTATATATAACTAATTGTCCGTTTTAATGTGTTAGAAAGGTCGAAAGTGTTTCAGACTGTAGATGTTTTGCGGTTTGGCGAAGGACATGGGATGATGCTGAGAGACAGATGATCATCATCCTCTGTATCTATCAATTCAAAATCAGGAAAATGTGTATACACCAATCAATATGCTCAATTTATTGTTAGGAAATTACCCTACCATGCATTATCAAAACTACTAAAGACCATCTGATCTGTTGCAGTATCTGTTGAACGACTCACTGAATCTGTTCCAGCGATAAACAGATCCAGGACAATCATCTCTATCTCCGCCATGCCGAAAGTCCCATGAGCAAGCAGCGACGTGAGGAAGGTTGGCTCTTTCAGATCCAGTTGACCCATTTTCTCCTTTTGTTTCAAATCCTCTATTGCCTCACAAAGCAAACCACCGACCCGTCTGTGTGTGAGAAAAGATGCTACGTACATGCTCACATCTATTATTGATCCTGCTTTGTCTGCGTTCCATTGACTTTATTCTTGTACATGTAAATTACAGGAGATACTAAGATCACAATGATGTCTTATAACCTGAGTTGGATTATTTTAAAATAATTTCTTCAAAGAATCCAGTCTCGGGCATTACAAGAACGTGTTAATTGTTCGATGTTCATTATGATAATGATGACAGAATATGTCGTAAATATGATAATGTTCGACTCCACCTCCACCTTTCGCAATTGGGATACGATGACATGCATCAACCAAGTCAGCGAGTCTGACCACCCGATCCCTTTACTCGCCTCTTACGACAGGCATGGGTTGCTAAAGACCAATTCCACCCCTGATCTCCACGGATACATGGATACAATTAAACCCAGGTACTCAAGACAGTGCCTTCCAAGTGAATCCATCCGGTTTCACTAATCATGATTGTGGTCTCTTTGTATGGTGTGTTATATTCCATCTAGATGACAATCCAGTGACTTACATCATCCATCCATGCAATTGGGATAAAATGACATGCATCAATCAAGCCACCGAACTTATCCAGCCGATTCATTTTGTCGCTTCTAACAAGCTGGGGACCCCTATTCTTACCCGGAATCCGAAGGGGTTCATGTCTATGGAGTAATATATGGAGTATTGTCACTGTGTATATGTGTACAAATTCCAAATGTCACCGTCAGAAGGGTTTCCTAACTGACGCGGATCATTGTATTTATGAAAATGCAGCACGACAGTCAAATACCTACTCTCTGATGTAATCCACAACCCTGGAATACTGCTTGCACAAAGGGGTTTCGAAGGTGCCAAAAAACAATGGAGGAGCATGGAACCCTTTCATAAACAAGTCGAAAAAAAGTCGAATTTTATCGAATAATTCGTCGGCATTTTTCTCCATATTTGAATCCAAAAGACCTTGTCGCTTGTTGAATGCAACTACGCAAATACCTGAAACGGTAATAAATAGTTATCAGTATATATCAAAGCACCACATTATACTGATTGTTAGTTAACTATATTTAGCACTTAAATTTTACATGTATTTAAGCAATGTATTTCTAATGATATGGTCTTTGTGTTTTATGCTCCAAGCAACGGTCTGCGAATACACGAACAATGACCGATGAACGAAAGAACAATGACGCGCACATTGAAACATGGAACTGATTCAGTTTATGTATTACCTACTTTCTGATGCGTACTTGAAGAACTCATTTTGCAACTCGTCAGGAGTAAAGTTGTGATTAGTCAGTTTCCTTATAAGATCATCAGCGACTTCATTCTGTGCAGCAAGGTAACGAAGCGCAGAGTTCGGCTTCATTAATCTTGCATTCACGGCCCTCCTTAGGTTGAACCACTCTTCATTTTGCCTACATTGATCGGAGAAATTGGGAAGATAATATGTACTGCCAATGTAATTATGTTACACTGAACCCTCAATAATTCTAGGTTCTTGAGATAATAAAAAATGTACCGAGTTATCTATAGTTCCAAACAACGGAGCAACGTAACTGCCGAGAAAAAGAAAGTATCCACTTAAAAACTGGATTTGACCAAATCAAAAAACGTTTCTGGACTGAAAACAGTCGCTGAAACACTGCAAACTTAAGGTCCAAAACACAGCCATGATACCCGTATCAAATACTTCACCATCAAATAGCCATGATACCCGTATCAAATACTTCACCATCAAATAGCCATGATACCCGTATCAAATACAATACCATCGAAAAAACATTTCTTTCAGTAGTGAATACCACTTCTTGTTTTTGGATATTTTTAGCCAGCATCGAACATGGGTGTTTACATTCTTAATCCCGGCAGTTTATTGTAGATTACCTGAACAATATTTTGAGTAATTCAATTCACGTTTCGGGTACCCAATAGTTTCTGGTTTATGCTGTCAGTATTTCCAACTGGGTGTTTCACATACGTTACGGTGCAGCTAGTGTATAAAAACAACAAGGATTCAGAAAAACACTTACATATTACTATATAACTAAGTATTAGTTTATACATTACAAATATGTAAGCATCCAGTACAGATATGTTTAATACATTAATGTGCAAGAAACTGCAAGAAGTTGTTAGTGACTTACATTGACGCCAATCCAGGAATGATCCCTCTGGTTTTGCAGTAGTGAACATGCAGATGCGGAAGTGGACGTATAGGCATTCGTCCCTCGTTTCTGAAGACAGTTTCTATATCTGTGGGATCCTCTACATAAACCGTCCACGTTCCCATTCGAGTTTTGACCACGGGACCATACTTGTCGTGGAGATGATCAAACAACTGGTGGATCGTAGAAGGCTCGAAATTTGCTGCAACACATATCCCTCTTGTTAGAAATACAGGGTTTCAGGAAAAAGACATTTTGTGAAATGGCGTTTAGGGACGACATGTATGTTGTGGGGAAAAGGGTGTACCGTTGATTTTTGAGGATGGTTATTGTGAAGTGGGTGGAAGAATAGAGGAGGAGTGTGTGTATAGGGGTTAGTGGGGGTGAGTGGGGGTGAGTGAGGGTGAGTGTTGGTGTGAGAAGGGGCATGTTAGGGGAGGTAGGGTTTGTGTGTGTGTGTTTGCGTTTGTGTGTGTGTGTGTGTGTGTGTGCGTGCGTGTGTGTTTGCGCGCATGTGTGTGTGCGTGTGTACGTGCGTGTGTGTGTGCGTGCGTGCGTGTGTGCGTGCGCGCATGTGGGCGTGTGCGTGCGTGCGTGTGCGTGGAGGCCCAGGACTCTTTTGTGGCTACATGTCATCATGTAAAGTAATCGCTGACATGTTAGTTAACTTCGAGATCGAGACACGTAATGTATTATTGTAAAAGAAGAGTCTTAGATATCAAGCAACGTAAAGAAGTTTTGGTTTTGGGATCGGAAACTGCCTTACTCACTCGAATTTCAAAGTACATTACTCTCAAACTGTTACAACCATTGTTGTCTGCCGTGATCAACCGCAATTTAATGTCATATACAGGGGACATTTTGCACACAAACATTTATTACATACTAGACTTCCAACATCGTAGAAATAACAATACAGTCTGACACAGATTCGGTCAACTTCTTGAGTTAACAAGAATAATAAAAGAATGTTCGCCATAACTATTTGACGACATGCACTCTCTTCTAAGTCTAAAGTGTGTAGTGAATTGTGTAAAACCCACTGAATGGTTTGAAATGAAGCCTTGCACTGAACCGAGTCCAACTGTATATCCCCTTTGGGCCAGGTATGGTCTCGAAGGGCTTGACGTCTTTGGTAACGACATCGGCTGGCGCGACGGCTGCGGCGGCTGTGGCCTGTGTTTTGACCAGGATGTCATGGCGAGTGTGACGAAACTGGGCGACAAGGCGTCGTAGTGCCTTCATTGGGCTCACAAGCGGAGGTCTGTCTACTGAACAAAATAATCATGAACTGATGGATGACATTCGACTCTTTTAGGGTTTTAATCAGATTCAGAGGCGGAGGTCTGTCTACTGAACAAACTAATTTTAAAGTGATGGATAACATTTGACTCTATTGGTGTTTGATGAGGCTCAGAGGTGGAAGTCTGTTTAATGAACCGATCAGTTTAGAACTGATGGGTGACATTTCAATTTATTTGTTTCAATCAGGCTCAGAGTCTAAAGTCTGTCTACTGAACAAAATAATTTTAAACTGATGGATGATATTTATACTCAGAGGTGGAGGTCTGTCTCCTGAACAAAATAATTTTGAACTGATAGATCGTAGATCGCTGGTCGTTGACGTTTACGACATTAGTGAAACCAGAAAACAGACAGACCACTGAATCCGCCTGGGATTCGAACCAAAGACGCGTTGAGCATGACACGGTTAAGGGAAATTAGGCATTATCACTACGTGATCTTCATGAGTAACTAATCAATACTGGTCGGAAACTAATCATCGTAAAGAAATGCCTGTGATTGTTTTACGTTTTAAAATGTATAATTTATGTGCAATAAATTACCGTGAGTAGGTCTCTCAGGGCAATAACGTTGTAATTAATGTCGCGTTGTATATGATTTAGGAGTATACCGAATCCGTTACACTATCGTATATGTGAGATTGGCTTTAGGGCATTTAGAACACTGGGTTATAGTGCATTCCATGCACACGTGCCTATCATCGCGATATATATATCTGACATATCATAAATAACGCAAAACGTAATTCATCAGCTTATTCAAATGTACATTGTTTCTTAATCTTAGAAATATTTGGAACATGTTAAAGCAAAGAAAAATATGAATCATATTTTAGGGTAAATTTAACACTATGTGACCTCAAAACTACAAGCTATGGTAACGAATGATTAGAGAATAAAAACACTGTTTGAATAAAGTGTAAACAAATAAACATCATGGTCTCCGTGACAAGTCAAGTAAACTACATGTTGTAAAACAGATGCTTTACATGTAGATGTAATCACTTTTAATGAAATACATGGACCCATACTCCCCTCACCCACTCGTCTACCTTTTGCCCGGGGGCACGGGTGGCCCAGTCGTCTAAGGCGCCGCGATTCGCTGTGCAGAGTTGCGTCCCTTGGACACGACAGAAACCTATGATTGTGGGTTCGAATCCCGGTTCGCCCTGATTATGTTTCTAGGTTTGTCAGCACCATACCCGTGCTCGTGAGTTTCACCGAAGTGGTAAACGTTTGAGACTTGTATCACTAGGGGCTTTCCTCCCACATTGAGCTGACACGCCGTGATATAACTGGAATACTGTTAAAAGCAGAGTTAAACCCTACTCACTCACTCACTACCTTTTGCCCAATGCCCATATACTGCCTTGATGGATTATCGACCCTTGTAAGTTTCCATACGACCACTTTACCAATGCCTATTTGTTGAAAATCAATATGCATGTACCGAGCAACATGTGATGGAGGTGTTTCAACACAAAGGGGTCTTAGATACCAAGCCATGTAAAGAAGTTTGGGGATCGGAAACTGCCCTACTCTCGCGAATATCAAAGTACATTATTCTCAAACGGTTACAACCATTGTTGTCTTAGTGATCAACCTGAACAGAAATACACATCTTGAAGCCAAATTAACATAGCCACCTGTCGTCTATCACTAATTATAACAGTAACTCAGGCGTGTTACATCCCGTGCCTTTTGAAAGTGATCGAAACTTTCCGACATAACTGGATCACAATGGATAAATATACAACCCCTTGATTTTCAAGAGCAAACATTTCGATCTAAACAGGTAGTCTCGATGACCTAAATGACCTAGAACAGTGTGACCTAGTCATCCCTGTCTTTATGCACTTTACCAGTCATCACAACGTGTCCCAGTCTAACAAGGCAATGATAAGTCTAAATATAGCTGGAGATTGGTCTAGCCACATGCTACACATGTATTGCAGCCGTTAGCTGTTACCTAGCTAGCAGGAAGCTCATCAATAGATCGATATGCAGCTGACACTGCAGCGGAACGAGGAAGTGATCAATACCAATCACAAATTGTCGGAACCCCTTCCATCATTCAGTATAAAACACCATATGTAAGACAGCTGCTGAAAAGCAGGTTGTAATTACATATATATATAATATACATATATATACGTAATTACAACCTGCTTTTCAGCAGTCGTCTTACATATGGTGTTGTATACTTTCCATACCTAAGGGAAGCCCATGTACATATAATACTTTTATATATATATACAAGTTTATATGTGTCATCTTCTTTATATCAGTTTCAGACAGCGAAAGTACTATGTCAGAAACTGATGTAAAGAAGATGATGGACTAATGTGGACTTTATTATTTTATTACATATTACATGTACACCGAGTGAACATTTACCTCATTTATGTATAGAGCTGTCATGAGACAGTGAAAGTACTATGTCTGAAACTGATATAAAGCAGATGATGGACTAACGTGGACTTTATTATTTTATTATATATATATATATATATATATATATGACACATATAAACTTTTATATATATAAAGTATTATATGTGCATGGGCTACCCTTAGGTATGGAAAGTGGGTCACATACGATGAAACATGTATAGTGCACATATTTGTACAAATATATCACAATGCACTTATAAATATACATTTATGCATTGGCGCAGACGTATTTCAATACACATCGTTACACTTACAAAATACTTTGAATTTACGATTAGCAATAGTCAGAGAGTGCGTAAATGTTTTTTAAAGTTTCCGCAAAATATAAGTTGTATCACGGCGGTGGGTTATGTTTGGATCCGACAAACTGGTATCTGAAAACACGAGTCACACCCTATACTTGTATACGTAGCATAGCACAGATCCTACTTACATCAGCTCTTACACTAAGCATGAAGTAATTCGGATCTACTCTGGTAAGGTGAGGTGAGGTGAGGTGAGGTGAGGTGAGGTGAGGTGAGGTGAGGTGAGGTGAGGTGGGGTGAGGTGAGGTGAGGTGAGGTGAGACGGGGTGAGGTGAGATGGGGTGAGGAGAGGTAAAATGGGGTTTATGTCAGAATGTTTCATTTGTACATCGACGTGCATGTTTTTCTGCTTGTACTAGTCCGAACTTACGCCGGTTTAATAGCTCTTGCCCACTGAGACACCATGCTGCAGTTTAAGACGGATACCCTACTCAGAACACAGTATATCGACTCCGAGCCGACCATTGGCATTGTTTTATCCCATAAATGACGATCACCAAGCATGGTAAGAACAAGTACCATCCTATAAAACTATTCTGACCCAATGCCTGCAAGAAAAATGTAAATCAGAAAAAAAACATACCAGTGTTTAATAATTGTCTGAGCCATATTCATTTGTAGGAGCAGACACGGATGGAATAGATTTTACTCTAGAGGTTGTTAGAAGAATACTACATAATACAATATGTCATAACAGCAAACTCTTCAATGTAACACCTGAATAATCCGATACCTGTATAAACCGATACGGTAGGTCACTATCATTTTGACGTCAAAACATAAGTAAATCGGACCCTGTCTATAACAGACTTAAATGTCCCGATACATGACGGACTAAGCATTCTTTGTATCACACCCATTCTTGGTGATTATTATTTTATCAAGTCTTTGTATTTACCATCGACTAATAGGACAATTCGAACATGCTTTAACCTAATTTGATATATGTGATAAAATGCAACATTTGATGTGTTAAAATAAGCGGGTCATCTATAGTCAAGAGCATTAGCTGCAAATAGCACTGTCTGTTACTAACAATAAAGGTAACAATATATATAAAATAAATATATATAAATAATATAAATACAGGTTACCGACATAACGGTATAAATGTACTCTTGAAAGTCATCTATCTATCCATCTATCCATCTATCTATCTATCTATCTATGTGTTATAGTCAAAATTAAAAATAGCATATGTATGCAAATGCATTGACGCTATGGTTACCAACAAGTAAGCATTCACGTGCAAAATAATTGGCAACTGCAAAGGTATACGAAGATAAATCACATAGTACATGTACGTGAGTATAGAATTGTGATCACCCCTGTCGGGACCTGATAAGAATGCACTGTTGTGTGTTTACAGTTAGTGTTGTCCTACATATTCACGTGTGTACCATATTTAAAACTGCTGTGATAAGATGTTGTCTGTCGGCATAGTTTTACGAAATAAGTGTACTAATTCTTGCATCTCTTTGTATAACGAATACAGGCTATTTCAGCAGAAGTGTCTGGTTACATGCATTAATGTTTAACTCATTTGGTGTATAGAAAGTGCTGGCATGTACATCAATGTCAGGCCGGATTTCTCGGGACAGGCGTCTCTTAAAGGACAATTAAAGTGCACTTTGAAACACATTTATGTCAGTATTCATTGAACCTGGAACATTGTTTTATAAACTACATGTGTCTGGTGGAAAGGGAACACGCATACAATACGCTTATTATATGCAACAATACAAGAAACCGAGATGACAATATTTACCTTAAATTGTAAGAAGTGGTACACATACATCACATAAAATCCAGTGTCACAGTGTGCGTTGTTTCCATGACACTTTCACTGGTAAAGATGCAAAACACAAAGTTCAGAAAATCTCCAGGCTCAGTGACACGCAAATCGTTTAACACCAGCTGTATTGAAACAGAGCGAAGTGCAGCAAATGCATTCTGCAAGGAGATCCCGCAACGAGAATATAGATATAAAATACACCTACCATACAAGCTATCAGCTGATCCAACAAAGACTACAGTATTTATATCGCGGTTGACCCACATTCGGCCTCATTTCTGCTTCGTCGTTCGTCTATTGATTTTGTTGTTGCTTAAATCGAACTGTGGTTCAGTGACCTCTATGGGTTGTCCTTGTCGGGTATTTATGATTATTAACGGTCAGTGTTGTATATATATCATAAACATGTGAAT